ATTGGAGTCGGAATGGGATCCGTCCGACCGGGTATTAACTGTTGCTGCTGTGGTCGTTGTGCCTGCAGCCGCCGCGGCTGCAGCAGCGGCCGCTGCAGCTGCCGCCGCCGTGGCGGAACGGGATAGCTGTGAGCCGGAATACGGATAATAGTGGGATAGGTTCATCAAACCACCCGGACTGACCGCGGAGTGGAACCAGCCGGGCGGACCATGAACTCCGTTACTTAGGCTGCCTTCGGAACTGGCGTAACCGGATGACGAAGAACCGGATGAGGAAGAACCAGTACTATTCTGTCCAGGGATGCCAGGCCATAGACATGACATGGAACATGAGGCGGAGGATGGACAGGAACAGGAGGAAGAGGAGGGGAGTATCGAGGACGTGGTGGTGTTACTACTGGACCATGCTGTCCCCGGATGCACGGTTGTGTCGGATGAACTGAAACTGGATGTGGTCTGCGCACCGCATGGACTACCTTGATTGGCGGACGAACAAGAAGCTGCATTAACTGCTGCCATTGCCGCAGCAATGGCGGCCGGATAACCTGGCAGAAAATAGCTGGCCAGTCGGGGATCCGTGGGAAAAGGCATCTTGAACACTGAAATTAGCGTACGGGTAAAAAAAACAAAAATGCAATTGTTTTTCTTCAGGTAGAAGCGTAAGTAGTTCCTTAAACGTACGATAAAGGAAACGTGCTTTCTAGAATTCGTGGCTCTAAAATAAATTGACGGAACTAGTTTTTACATGGAAGCAGATACGATCCTATATTCTCATATCACCCAAACACAGAAAACTTTACTGATTCAGACTTGGCATTCGGTAATCAGCAAAAGTTATGGTCAAGACACATTGTAATGGTAATAGCGAGAAAAAACAACTCATGTTCAGATGGTTCTCTCTCCGTGAGAAGCAGCGGAGATTTCAGTTGATATAATGAGACAATCTTCAATTAACATGAAAATGTTTTGCACGAATATCTTAAAATGACAGTTGGTGAGGAATCATGTGACTTATCCAATGAGCTAGGATATAGGGAAGACAATGCATTTTAAGACGTAGACACCGGCTGATATAAGGAACAGTGAGTCTTTGAGGTATCGTCAGGCTTTTTGAGAATTTTTCTTGTTCAAGCCTTCCCTAAAGGGAGATGCATACATACATATGCAAGCGGAAGGGCACAACACACAACGGGTAGAGTCGGGAGAGAGAGGAAGTATCACATCAAATTGTCGCACGAAAGATACAGTTTCGGTTGGTGGACTATTTCTGTTCGTCTCCGGCATAAGGTAAAGGTATTCGAACTACTTGCCATCTGATACTGGTGCAATCAGAGCTTGTCGAGCTTATCGGTTGCCATGTATGTGGTGACGCGTAGTCTCCCGCCGCGTGTTTTAGTTTACTTATCTGTTTTCGATCCAAAACCCACCCACCCACACACACACATATCTGAATAATCTTCTGTAACCACAGTTGTTGTCGTTGTTCTGTTTACCGTTGGTTTTGCTGCTGTTGGCTCGTGTTGTTTCGGACAAAAGTCTGCTGTCAGATGGGGAGTGGACGTGTGTCAGACTCGAAACGTTCCGCATCGTTCCGTTCCGCTCTAACCTGTCTCACACCGCTGTCATACCTTATTCTCTCACCACCCTACGACCATGCCAAACTAAGGATCACGTTCTGTCAAAGTCCTCGCTCGCTCAATCTAGCGAGGTTGGGGTGCGGAAAAAAACGAACATCCTCTGCGGAGGCCTCATTCTGGGGGTATGCCTCGTCTGCGTTCACCTCATTCAAGGGGGTATCACCAGTTAGTTCAAATTGCGAGCGGGAAAACAAGCAAGGGAGCGAGTGTGGTGGTAGGGTGATGCTACTGCAATGTACGACTTATCCAATGAGCGGTGGTCATAGACTGCCATGTAAACAGCGAGACAACGGGCAAGGAGACAAGGACAAACAACACTAATACCACGAGGATCATGACATTTCCATGCTTCTCTCGACGGCTCCACTAGCGCTGTGCAATTTTTTTCTTTTTACAGTCCACATGTTTGTTCGCTTGCGCTGCTACTCACACATTCATTTTCTTTGGTGCTAATGGGAATGCATTTGGGTGTAAATTCGTGTGAGCTAACTACATACAAACACACACAATAAGTGAACAGACAGAGGGGGAACCGCACATTTCGGATGCACTCGAAGGTGGCTACTATGGTTTGACGTGACTGCTACTGTCTAATCTGACGGTTGAACGGACAATCCGCATCATGCGGTCAGTCTATAAGACAACTGAGCTCACACTCGTTGACAGGTGTGTACCGTGTCATTTTCGACGAACCGCTTCAGACAGGTCATATCTTTTCTGCCCCGTTGTGGATCGGACAGTTCGTATCAGTTGTGATGATACGAATGTGTTGGTGGATCACGCCAACTCTGGTTACTCCTTAGCGTTTCTACATATTTTTTTAATCCTAGATCCAAAAGAAGACAGAAACATCACCATTTCCTCGTGGCCAAAACTGAGCCGGTGTTAGAAATCAATCAACGGTTTGAGCCCCCTTTTCTGCCGATCAATATAGATCCGAACAAATCAGTGACAGAACTGAACTTTACTCATGCCTCTAGTGTTTTAGTATTGGAGATGCACGCCGAAATTTGCTATCAATCATTTGGGCAGCCTAAAGATTTCGCACATCCGAGGCGTCACTCTACGATGCAATCAGTCATGTGTCTAGACGAAGGGGTGCATCAGTCAACACTTGACACGTCGGGACATGCGTACAATTGGGGACCATGTAGTTCTGATGCAGACGGAGATGACTGGTGAAACAAAAAGTATAGATTACACATTTGTAAGGGAGCAGGTGTAGTAATGCGTCCGAATAAGGAGTGTGGCTGGGCGCTGAGGAAGCGAAACGTGTTGGAACAAGTCAACCATGGACGACCTACATCAGAATCCGTTTAACTCCACGATGCGCAAGATACACGCGTATGCAGGCAGTGAAGCAATCATTGAAGGCTTTCGGCGCTAAGACGATAGAACTATGCTTTCACATGTGGACGAATTCGGCAAATTAAAAGCGACAAAGTAGATCAGCCGCGTCCAAAATGGTCTTCTACAGGAACTGAAGATTCTATGCTTTGGGATCGGATACTAAATAGTTCACAAAGCACTAAATAAATCACTATTATTTTCCCCACAAATCAGCGCAAATTAAAGGTGTGGAATGATCGACGAAACACAAGAGAGACATTTCTACGCAATAGCGTTCGCGTTCGTGCATAACTGCACGGCCTCAACTGATTGTAATGATTGGAGGCGTGTCAAACTTTTTCGGTGTGCGACGATTTCAAACGCGGACGGCAGCTGAAAGGTCAGGTCAGGCCAGGTTACGATCCGGAGCGGAAGTAGATTAGTCTTGATCGATGAACTTGTCCATGTGGGTTCTGCTGGGGTCTCTGTGATTAGCTAAATCCATGATAGATAATTCGTCAAGCACTTTTTATGTGTAGACCTCCGTCTCGGCAACGCTCTCTATTTAGTATGAACTCTCAGCTATTTCAATGGTTGACTAGATCGTATTCAAAACATAGTAACTAAAACCAGAGTATGGACCCAAAGATGACTGATTGTCTGGAAGATTGCCGAAATGAAACGGAACTCTATTACCTAGATAAGTGGTTTTTAATATCATCGGTCAAATTATTTGTTGATGACTCAACAATGTTCCAAAATCAAACAGTTAGTCCATATATTTGGATACTTCATGCTTACATATACATTAGCCAGATTATAGTTCAGTATTGAAGACAGATAAGGAGACATTAAAAAGACGAAGAACTGGATCCAATCGACCTTGCTTGTTACACTAATCAAATTGGTGACTCGACAGAATCTGAAGACAATGTATGCCACGACTGGAATTTATCGGAGCAGCTGAATGCCCTACATGAAAGAGCCAAACACAACGAGAGTTGTATTTATCTATCAAATGAGTATGTTTGATTGAAATGTATAGACCATTTCATGTGATTTTAGCATGCTGGAGCACCACATTCTACGTCTACATTCTCAACACGTGCCACAATCTTACAAATAATCTTGTGTGTGTGATACATTAACTTTGAAGTGCCGCAGATCCCAAAAGGTGGGGGGGGAGAACCAGAATTGACAGTCATATTCAGTCCACAAAGACAGAGACTGAGAAAAAACTGACTCAATGAAGAGCCGTCAGAATAGAGTGAGCTGTGGCAAATTGGTGTACATCGCGTTTTTGGTACATGTAATCAAGGTCAAGAGAAAATTAGAGATGAAAAGAATAGTATATTCATTAAACAGACTACATACCTGGGAATCGAAATATCATTCGGGATGACGGATATGCAGATTCTAATGTGTTGTTATTGGGGTGCAAGGGTCTGAGGTTTCAATCCCACTCACCAACCTTGGTGGTAAACAGCTTCACTGTGCCTTGATCGTAAACCATTTCTGTCCCATTAGGATCTTTTGTGATCCGCCACTCTAATTCCCAGGGTTTGAACTGCCGGTTTCCATTACAGTACAGTGATTATGGGGTTCATTCTTTTCTACTGTCCCTCACACTAATGTATGCAGTAAAAAATTGTGCATGAGCAGATTTAGGATCTTTTCTAGCTACTAACACCGACACAAATGTTGTAGCTAGTTGCAGAAAATGACGGCACCTTTTTGTGGACCACACAACTGTGATGCGGCTTCCTGTCACAAAAAGGGCGAAAATACTTCGAAGGGAAAACAAACGAGTCAGGGTGTTATCACATGGTGCAATGGATATATGCTGTGCAAGCGAAGAAATCGGTGCTCGCTGAGAGTATCCCATTTTTAGTTCAAAGAGCAAGTGAAGATCATTGGAAGACCAGAAGAAATGTAAAAAATTAACCATGTATAATTTCATTTCCAGTTTGAACAAAATTTTACGTCCCGTGCTTCAGTTCTGGTTGCTATATCCTGCTTACTCAACAGATCGGATAGTGGATAAAAGTAACAGAGAGAGAAGCTGCAAGTATTACCGAAAACAGAGGTTTACATAGAATGCGGAAAAATATTATTTTGGGGTCAAAATTGATTGATATTATTCAAAGGGGATAGGTTGATTGCTGTGCGAATATACTGAGAGAAATGGCGACAATATGTATACAAATCGTTTGCCATTCAGACGTGATTTATTTGTGACGACTGATGATTTAGATCATGCTACACACGGAGAGCCCATAGTTCAACGTGGAATAGACAGATAATGCAAAAGCAAGCAACATCAAGAGCAGCAACAGCAAGATGAACTGTGGAGGCAGGCGCACGGATGATTTGAGCAGGAATACTAATCACAACGATGCGTGTGTTGTGTGGTTGAGTGTGCACACAAACACACCTTGCTACTTCGACCCTTTATAGACCATACGATGATGACAGACAAAAGTAAACATAGAAACCAAAATTCGCTTATCAAACCATGTGACATGAGAATACAATAACAAAATAACATTATGATGCTTACAACAGCACACACGCAAGCACAGATCGAAACATTTACGTTATTGTATTGATAACCACAAATGGATT